TCGGTGTAAAAAATGTCATCTTTTTTTTTTAATTCCAAAAAAATGGCATATTATTCTTTGAGAATGCCAACACTTTCATTCTGTCAATTTGAATCCTTTTGACTTCTGCAAAAAATATGGCATTCGCAATGAATTTAGCTTTTTTCCCGTTGACAGGAGGTGGTGGTACTGCCTCTCTGCACTACTGCCTCCGACCGTTAAAAAAACCATATTTACTAAAAACTATCATTTTTTCAGAAAATGCCAAAAAAATGACATATTTCTCTTTGAGAAACATAACTTGAATCATTCTCCCAACTTGAATCATTCTCACTTCTGCCAAAAATATGGCATTCTTAATGAATTTGACATTTGTTTCCCAGGTGTCTAGAGGTGGTGGTGCTGGGACGACAACGATTTTTTTTCATTCTTTATTATTTACAATATTTTTATTATTTTTTTGTATTTTTTACAAATTTTATTATTTTTTATTATTTTATTATGAATTAAAACATTCCAATAGCTATAAGGTATATTTGTCCAAGACAACTATGGAAACATAATTTATTTTTTGGTCCTATTTGTATAAAGTGAGTGACTTTTAGTCCTATTTTGATAATTAAGTCATGTCCCTTATATACTCGAGGAACACGACTACTAAAGTCGTGCTAATGCCGCATGAGATCATGTTGATGTGTCATGACATCACATTGATGTGGCATGTCTTCTCGCTGACGTGGCAAGACATCACACTGAGGTGGCACGACGTCACGGTGATGTGGCATGATGTCATGCTGATGTGGCATGACATCATCCACAAGAACTGCAGATCGATATCAGCCCTTTGGGATATATAGATGTGGCTTCAACATTCACTGCTCTGATCATAAACCTTGGATACACGTATATTTGAAATGCCCGTAAAATGGCCAAATGTAGAAACAGTAATTGAGCCGAGGAAGATCAGGCCACTCGCCTCGTCCGATAGTTTTAGCGCGAAATCCGAACTGGTATCAGGCGCAACCTCGCTCAAGTATTTTCGGCCTAGAATCGAATGGACCCGCCCGCCGGCTACTTAAGGTGTGATATTGGCTTTGGGCCTCGACCCTCTGTATGGATGACTTGGACTATCCATTTTATCTGGGTTGTTGTGATGTACTCCGTACTTCGTAATACAATATACTCGTATGATAGGCAGTTGAGGAGCTGGGGAGGGGCATGAGGGGGCAAACGTTCCCGCTTTGAGAAAAAAAAATTAGTACTACTACTTATAATATTAATAATGCGCTTCTTTCTTTTTCAAAAATAAATATCAATCAAGAATAAGTTAGATAAATTGTTAAAATAAAAGGCAAAGTCTTTAGGAAACATACGTGTCTCTAGGAATACAAGTATTGACTGCAACATACCATATTCATTTGAATGAAAGTGTGGATTGTTTAGACCTTTAATATATGACACACGGCCGATTGACTTTTCGTGGTTATAGTAAGCAAGAAAGTATTTAGTTTGACTAATATGTTGTCACATTTCTTGCCACAAAAAGATCAAAAGATTCTCGAGACTATGTTGGATTCTCTCCTTAGTGGAGAAATTCATTAGAATTTTAGAATTCTCAAAGATTTCCAAGATTTTCTATATGTGTGTAAAGAACTAAAGAAGTATTGAATGTTCTAGAATAATAATGTGGAGTTTTCTAGAAAAGTGTGGAACTCAGTAAAATCGTGTAGAAGTGTGTTAAGGCCTCCAAAACATTTTGAAGAATTGTGGTGTTCTCTAAATCTTTATAGAAAATTAGAGAAGCTTGTGGATACTTCTTGAAAGAATCTAGATATGTAGTGATGCATGAAATTTTTTAGAGGAGCTTTGATGAGATTAGTATAGAGAAGCTTCCCGTTTCTATGTTAACCTTGAAGAGAGCTCTTGAGTGATTGAAAGTGAGTCTCCCTGGCCTAAGACAGGAGAGTAAGAATCTTATTGTGAGAAAAGAAGGCTCAAAGATATCGCTTGATAAAGTGTATGCGATCGAGTTAGATAGAATGAAGTAGTCTCAGATACAAAGAGTGAGTGGGAGTAATACAAAATGATATTGTCAGATTGAATCTTTGTATTATGGGTGTGCGAATATATAAGTGTACAAGAGTCTATGAGCTCGTGATCCTGGAAAAGACTGAGGATCGTGTTTTCCCAACATGAAGTTTTTTTTTTGAAGGAAATTAACTCAATTCGCATTAATCACATCAAAGGACAAAGCTTCAACAATACAAGAAGGTGGAATACCCAACCAAGACTGACAATCAGATATAGAACTAGTTGTTCTAGCCAACTCATGAGCCACTATGTTCGTTGACCGTTTAACAAAAGAGAAAGAAATATTAGCAAAATTTCTACTAATAAGTCTAATATCTTCAGCTATTACACTGCATTTTGAACAATTTAAAACTCGTATGATTGATCTATCCAGATTATAGATATGAGTCAAGCAATATGTGTCAAACAGTATTTAATGAATTAATTTGTGATGATGTATTGCACTTTTATTATTTTTATTATATTTTGAACAAATACATAAGAATCTTTAGCTTTCAGTACGCCCCCCCCCCCCCCACCTTTCGAAAAATCTCTGGCTCCGCCACTGATGACAGGAGCACATTTTTTTTGTAAAGCTGTTGTAAAACATACAGAGTATAACTTAAATTTCCGGATTTGTAGTACACTAACAAAGCACAAATCAAACTGTTATTTTTGAAGAAGGTCCATTTGTTTTTTACAAAAATGATGTTTGAACCCCATCCTTATACTCACTTCTATACCCACCTATGTTTGTGAAGTGTTTTTTTTTTCTGTGAACCTCGGATCACCGGGTTCACAGAAAAAAAAACACTTCACAAATATGGTGTGCAGAGACGGATTTAAGGGGGGACGCGGGGGGGGGGGGGGGGGGGGGGCTTTGGACTTTAGAAATTTTCTACTATATGTGTAGTATTTTCATAAAATTTTCATACTTTAATTAGATATATATGTTTTCGCGCCTCTTAACTTTTAGTTTTCAAAGTTAATAAATAGACTTACATAGTGTAATACTTAATTGGTGATTTAAAAGAAGTAACATCTAAAATACTAAGTAATTTATTTTGATTTTAATTGTTGCGTTTTGTCAGTTTATTTTTGTTTATTTTTTGACGGTTGTAAGACGATGTCTTTATCTTTGGATGAGGGCGATGATTTGACCGTGTTGACCGTCTTTGGCTCATTTGTGCCCATTAATGGATCAACAAGTTATATTGCTGCGGCGATTAACTCTGAGTCTAGTGCGAGGGACGGCGGTTTTCAGGAGTCATGTTGTCGATTTACCTACTATCTGAATGAGATGTTATCAATTTAAGCCCATTTCTATCAAAAAAAGACTTAGGATACCTATTATATAAAAATTCATAGCTTTGTAATATTTAATTATCCTTATTAGATAATTAGTACTAAATTTTGTAAAAGATCAAATGATATTAAATACCAGTCACACTAGTTAAATAGTTTTAGATAATATAAAATGAATCCGAAATATAAATGTTTGTTGACATTAAACTATACAATTCATTTACTTCTTACTTTTTAAAAGCAATTTATTGCATAAATAATAAACTTTAACGTATTTTAGCATTAATACAAACATAATATGCACCATATATATGAATTAACAATACTACATATAATATCATTCCGAAAATAGTAATCTCCTACATAATATACTCCTCGATCGTGACCCATAAACATCCTCCTTGGCATACAAAAACTAACCACGATTCAAAAACCAATTTTTTATTCTGGTAAGATTCATGTGGTTAAACAATGCATATGTTATTTAAAAGGCATTGATTGATGTGTACTTTTAATTTTTTTACCTTCAAATAATTCGCCAAAATGTTATATATCCTTTTTTATTTTCAAATAAATTTCCTTTGATTTGCAATTTCTTATGTTTTAATGTATCAATAATTTTTTCTACAACATTTATGATTACAAAATTAAAGTTATTTCTCCATTGTCTAAACTTAAAATGTAATAGATTTAAATGTTATCGTATATGTACTAATGATTGTTTTTGAATAAAAATTAGTCACAGAGCCCTACAATAGTGATAAAAATTTGTTCCGCTACACTAGAGGAAAAAATTTGCCCCGCTACATTAGCAAAAAAAAATTGTCCCTCTAAACTAGCGAAATTTTTTCGCTCCCTACACTAACGAAAAAAATTTCGCCCCCTTGACTCGAAATCCTAGATCCGTCCCTGATGATGGGTATAAGGTGGGTATAAGAGTGCATACATCGTTGATTTTTTTAAGGGAGTGATCTCCATTTTTAGACTGGGTCATTGACTTTTTGAATAATTTCAAATTTTCTCTACGTTCTTATGAATTTGTAATATTGCCTCTTCTTGAAAAAGTATACCTCAAAACTTATAATACCTTATTTGTTCATAAATAATTACAATATGTGAGATTTACACTATTCATGTGTTGTACTTTGATCACATTTAATTTTTTAAATATGATAAAAAAACTCCTTATTTTTGAGGCAGCGGTCTAGCCCAGCTGGACGCGGACTCACTCTCACTTACGGGAGGTCTCGAGTTCGAAACTCAATGAAGTGAGTTTCAACTCTCATTGCTCTAGGCCCCCTCTCCCAGACTCCCCCTGGATTAAAAAAATACTAAACAAAACTCCTCATTTTAAATTTCAAAATTTAGTTTTTTTTAAAAATTTATTAGCAAAAAATTAAATATACTAATAAGCAAAATTGTGCATTGATAAATGTGAAATAAAATGTGAAATATGGAGGAAGCCTACTTTAGTCCGGAGTAATTAAAATAGACACTATTAGCTTTACACTGAAAGGTTCTCTATAACACAGAAGGTCCTACTTGAGAGACATGCAATTTGGAATTGAGCGCCATGGAGGGGAGAATAATTTCATTGGGTGCGTTGTTATAAGTTATACTCCTAATAAAAGTTTGGCAAAGTATACTGTCACTTTCGTGTGTGTTCGTACTTATATAAGTGAGCACCCCAATACATGGCCGGTACTCCTAGCTAGCTACCATTAATTAAACTCAAATTCCAATTCCACCACCCCATTCTGCTTATCACCTGGAATTGCAGTACAAATGGGTCTGAAGAGAAGTGACCTTCTGGTGTACACAACATTGGAATGCGAAACCAAGGAGGATATGCTGGCTCAGATGACCAAAGCCAAGGAAGAAGGGGCAGATCTGGTTGAGATCTGCGTTGACTCGTTGACCTCCTCACACCCATCTGAGGTCGATTATATCATTACACAAAGAACTCTGCCTTCCATCGTCTGTTGCAGGTATATACATATACATGCTTTCTATTTTTAATTCTTCTCATCTCTTCATTTTCTCCTCTCAAGTTTCCATATTTATTAATTGGAATTGATGTATTTTGATATCTTAATTCTTAAATGTTAGCGTCATAATTACTCCCTCCGTTTCATTTTGATATCATGGTCCGATTAATGTTAGTCGACTCCAAAATCTTCTGTGATTAAGACTTGTGTATTATTGTTGTTGTTGTTTGTCTTAAAATGAATTTCCCATTTCATTTTATAAAAATTATGCAATTCTAATCGTTTCATTTTCTAAAAATTATGTAATTCTAATCGTTTCATTTTATTTTATTCAAATCTCAATCACAATTTTTATTTTTTTCAATCATTTTATTAATAATTGCACAAAACTAACATGTAGTAGGTCATATCAAAGATAGTGGGAAAATCATCAGAATCATACATTTTCAATCGATCAAAGTCTGATTTCACACATTCCAGTTAAGGAAAAATGTTTGGTGTACACATTTTGTACACATGTCTGTCCTTCCCAAAAAAAATTCTGTCACAGAAAACTCATGTGTACTCAATTTTTTTGGGAAGGAGTGTACACATTTTGGGAAGGAGTTTACAAAATGTGTACACCTAGCAAAACTTCCCGTTAAGTTAAGTATAAGATTTGGGCAGGGCGCAGTAGGGGGGCGACTCACCCCAAATTTAAAAAAAAAAAGTTTATATTTTTTTGTATTAATTATTTTGTGTAAAAACTTTTCTTAAATATTTTTGTACCACTATAATCCGGTCTGATAGGTGGCTCCGCCTCCCAAATTGGGGCGTGATTCTATTTCGTTCAGCTTGACAACTTGCCTTTTTTAGTACGGAGTATTTAATACTCCAAAAAGTTGGCTAAAGTTGACTTTCACGTAAATTAATAAAGTAAAAACTGTGTGGTTCAAATTTGTGCAGAAGAGCGAGAATTAATTTTAGTCACATGTTCCTTACTTTAAATGGAAATGACGAATCTTTTTGGGACATTCAAAAAAGGAAATTTGATCAACCTTTTCGTAACATACATATCTTCTCACTTTCGTAACATTTATATCTTCCCGTTTCTAAATCTTCCCATCATATCCTCAATAATTTTAAAAACAATACACTATTACATATACTTTTTTTGGATTTATCATTCATTCCATCACATTATTTCACTATCTTCTCATCATATCTTCAATAATTCATACACATTTCACTATTCTTAATCTCACCTACTTTGAAAGTGGGAAGATATACTCCCTCCATCCCAAATTTAACTCATCACTTTCCTTTTCGGGCAATCCCGAAATTAACTTCACACTTCAAAACTTTCCTTATTTAGCAAATAATCTACATAAAAAAAGTGCCAAACAGTGCCAAACAGTGTTTAAACAGTGCAAAACAGTACACTCCACAATAAAGTCAAATTTATTTTCCTAATATGTGTGAAGTCAAACTGAGAAGTTAATTTTGGGACGGAGGTAGTATGTGATACGGAGGGATTTTTTTTTTTTTTTTTTGGTAATATGTGATACGGAGGGATAATTAGCGCAATTAAACTTTTGTTTTTGTTACTTTCAACCTGAAAGAGATTTTGGAAATTCATAAAAAATGTGTGAGAGAATTTGTCGTTGGCGGCAGAAATATAATGATTGAGTCGTCGGATGTCTATTTCGCAAATTAAGGAGGTGGGTAGGTATGACATAACAGCCTCGTGGGTATGGGGTAGAAACAAAGTACAACAATAATAGAGCGAGCAAAGCAGCAGCCTATAATCCTCCGGACAAGAACTCGTGATTCGTGATACTTAACGGACTCATATTTTTTAACAATTTGATGTATCCATTCTTAAATCACCATGTTTATGAATGTCATTTTTCTGTTATTGAATCTAATTTACAGATAGTCTTATTTTGTATATTCAAGTTTTTGCACAAACAAAAACAAAGTATTGATTGTGAACAGAATTCACCGATAAAATAAAACTTTCACAAACATAGGAAGGTATAAAAAAATGTATAAGAGTGGATACATAAATCATTTTTGACTTTTTATGCACATTTGGCAGGAACAATCATAGATTTCACTCTTGATACAAAATAAAACTTTCACAAACATAGGAAGGTATAAAAGTTTGTATACGAATGGATTCAAACATCATTTTTGAGTTTTTTATGCACACTTGGTAGGAACAGTGATAGATTTCGCTTCTGATTCCAAATGAAACTCTATTCTCTTATCACCATCTCTGATAAAAAACAATTTACACCAAGTGTGTGTCGTACATCGTATGGAAGTTTACCAAGTGTGTATAATACCAAGGTAAAATTTATGTGCAAAGTGAAAATAAAATATAAAGAATTATTTTATTCCCTCTCTACTTAAATAGTTGCGACATAAAGTTTTTGCATGTTTAAGAAAGGAAAAATGGAGAGAGTGAATATTGTTTTGAAGAAATAAACTTAAATTGATAACACATTATTCACATAGTAGGTAAACTGACAAAAGACTCTTGAAAATCGCCGTCCCTCGAACCAGAGTCAGAGTTTATCACCTCGACAGAAGCAATATAACTCGTTGATCCATTAATGGGTACAAACGAGCCAAAGACAATTAATACAGTCCTTCCATCACCCATATTCAAATTCACAGTCTTACAACAAAAAACCAAAAACAAACAAAAGTAAATAGCATGATCCAGACAATTAAAATAAACAAAAGCAAGAAAATAAAAGTCTTGTCCCAGCTTTCTGATCACCACCATCCTCCACTTCCGTGGTTGCGGTTCAGGAGGAGGTCGGATCAACAATACTGCATCTTCTTCTTCCTCATCCTGCTCATTCTCGATCAAACTCACTTTCATACCTTCACGTTGCCAAACGTCAATCCTCAACTCTTTGAGTCGTGAAGCGATGGACAAGCAAGCCATGACTGACCACAATCTGCAAATTAAAGAAAACAAAACAAAAACCTGCACAACCAGTGCACAATCGAATATGTCCCCTCTCTTCGTCTAGCCCCTGTCTGTCACACCAAAGCCGACCTCCCTCTGTCTTTCGTCTGTCAAAAAAGCCACATCACTCCTTCTAGCCGCCCGCTAATCCTCCTCACCGAGCTTCGCAAATCAAAGAAGAAGGAAACGCCTGGGTTCACTGTTTTGTCGCTAATATCCTACGCACGTCTCAAACTGCCGGCTCAAACGGACACCATCTCTCAGGTGCGACGACGGCGGCTTTTACCTAGGGTTCACTCTCGCTCTAACCTGGAGAGAGCGAATACTTTTAAAAAGTGTAAAAATAAAAGACAAGGTAGTATGATTTTTTTTTTGAGGAAACAAGGTAGTATGATTTTTTTTGGATGTAAGCGGCTTACATTGATATCAAACCATTCTGAGAGTAGGTAAAACGACAATAAAACTTATGAAAACCGCAGTCCCGCAAACCAGAGTCGGAGTTAATCACCTCGGTAATATAACTCGCTGATCCTTTTATGGGCACAACTGAGCCAATGACATTAATCGCAGTTTGATCATCACCCACATCTAAACTCAAAACCATCGTCTTACATTTGGAAATAAAGAAAAGAAGCAAGCCAGATAACATTAAACAATCTAAATAAATAACAATAATAAAGTAAAAATCATCACTGAGTCTTACAACGAACACCAGAAGGCACCACTCTGAACCCCCCTTCCGCATCCCAACCGCAAACAAGCTTACCCCTCTAAGCCCGTCTCCTCTCCATTTTTTGTTCTGTCCAGTGTCATCTCATCCCCCCCTCGGTGTTGTGCTTCCCCTGCCTCCCAGATGCGACTGCGCTTCTGTTCCCCTATGGATTTCTCATTATGTTTCAAAACCACTTACTTGGAAGAGCTACTACGCGAGACCGCCGTATCTTCCTTCTCACCCTTAGCTCCTCCGTTAGACCCCTGATTCTCCCAATAATGCGAATTCATGTCCGAGTTTGAGCCTTCTCCAACCAGCCATTTATTCTTTCCTGTTGGGCTGGTCTTCATCCCACTACCTGCCCTAAGCGACACATCAAACATTTTTTCCAAGACCAACCCTTCCTCATACACAAGTGGACAAGATTTTTCCGAGTGACCAATAACGCCACAAATGAAGCAAAAATTTGGCAACTTCTCATATTGAAAATCCACCCAATACCCAATACCCAATACCTTCTTTTTTCAGAGTTGTTCCTTTGTTCGAAGGATTTTCCACATTAATACAAACCCTGACACGCAGGTAGGACTTCCACTTTTCACCAAATTGATTCTTATCATAGCTAATGAACCTACCCAGAAAATTATTCACTCTTCTTGAAGTGCCTAGATTCAATAAGCAGTAAGGAACATTATGAACGCGCACACAAAATGCTACCTTATTCAGGCAGATCTTATGCGGAATATCAGTAGGTTTAATTTCTTTCACAATCAATAAATTCCTCTCAAACTGCCATGGACCCCCGTCAAGCACACGTTTCATATCAATTGGGTGATTAAAAGCAAAAATATACCTCTTGCCATCGATTTCCTTGATCTCCACGCCCCTCCCCGGCCTCCATAGTGAAGCCATCATCTCCTTGAAAGGTAGTTTGAAATTTAAAAACGAAAAAAGTAAAAAAAAAAAAAAGTGTGTAGATATTTTAAATAAAAAATATGTTTTTTTGGTAAACAAATGACAAATATGTTAATCCGGAACAAAAGGTAAAGTACTCAACAACATTCTAACATGGTAGGACTTCAAATTAATTATGGAGTATTTTAATATCGAAGTAGTAAATAATTGCGATAAATAAAAAAATGAATGTAGAGACGATCCAGTGGAACGATGTTGGTTGATTTATATCAAGGGAAAATGACATTTGTAATCCCTTACTTACATCAAATATAGAAATCTAGTTGTTTGTTCTGTTAGCAATGTAGCAAACTAGCAAATTCCATTAAACATTTATGCGCTTCAACCCAAAGTCGCGCAATTCGTTACAAATACTGTCCCTTGAATTGCGTGGTTCTCATTAGAACCGCTCCCTATATATGTATGCACATATACATATACTTTGATGAGATAATGTTCAAGTAAGGTAGGCCTAAGAATTGTAATTCTTAGACCTCTTTCATTTGAGGTACTTCCGGGTCGAATTTTTTGATGAAATTTTGTTAGCATGTTCTCCATGAATTGTAGATTATTTCCACCAAGTTTTATAATAAAACTCAATCGTGAAGTTAGTTAAATAAATTATTGGAAAAAACTGCATTTTATATACTCCGTATATAAAAACCTGCACAATTTTGAAAAAAATTATTTAGTCTGCTTTTCGATTGAAATTTAATCTGAAATTTGGTGAGCATAGCTTATACTTCATGAATAACATGCTTACAAAAGTGTATCACAAAATTCAAGATGGAAGCACCTCGAATGAAAGAGGCCGAAGAATTACAATTTTTGAGCCTACCTTAAATGCACACTTGCACATAAGGATGAATATTGAATAGAAAACCAATAAAGAGCTTGTTTGTACAAGTATAAGCATATACTTCGCTTATAATTATGGCAGGCCCAAGACTTCATGCGGAGGAGGTGACTGGAAGAGTAGATGCTTGCAAATTCTTAGACTGGCTGTGCAATTAGACGTTGAGTTTGTCGAAGTCGCAATAGAGGTCAGTTAACATTTGAAAAATACTGCAAACTATGTCATATTTTCATTTACATAGCTTTAATTTAACTGAAATTAAATAGTGTTGGTTCTATTAGGAATGGTAGAATTAACGATTACTAGGAATTCTAGACTTCCAGTAGATGGATGATGGCTGATGCTACAGTGCTACTATTTCTGGAGGTAGCTAGGTGTGGTGTTGCATAGCACTACATTTTCCCTAAATAAGAATAATTATTGTCATGAACACTACTGTCACATTAGTATTGCGGCATTAGTGCCCAGTAATACAAAAATAGGGAAAAGGGTCGGATAGGGCCTCGAACTTACATAAAGAGGTCAAATACGGCCTTATATAGGACGCTCTGTCCGGCCGACGCTATTTGGGGCGGTTTCCAGTTGAATGTTTTTATGAAACTTTTTGAGCATCTTATTATTAAGTCTAGTTTACTCATACCAAATTTGAACTAAAACTTCAATCGGGAAGGCATTCAAATGAATTCTTGAAGATAACTGCACAGTTAAAAGCGCAGTTATCTTCAAGAATTTATTTGAATGCCTTCCCGATTGAAGTTTTAGCTGAAATTTTATATGAGTAAACTAGACTTAATGAATAAGATGCTGAAAAAATTTCATAAAAAAATTCTTCCGGGAACCGCCTCAAATTGCAACGGCCGTACAGAACCCTGGACAGAACCTCCTATATAAGGCCTTATTTGACCTTTTTATGTAAGTTCGAGGCTCTATTTGACCCTTTTCCCTACAAAAATATGATGATATAATTATTTTTTTTTGCAAGGAAAACATTAATTAATATTAATCAAGTCATTGTCTAACACGGATACAATAAAAGGAGTATAAAACCAAGAACGCAAATCAGACATAGAACAAGCGGCTCTAGTTAGAGCGTGGGCCGACTTATTCGCTGATCGCATAACATGACAAAAAGATGATGGTATAATTTTAGTATGAGAATAATCCACTCATATTTAGAAGGAAAAAAACATAACACAGACTTTTATATTGTTCTACTCCTAGTGTTGTTGTAAGTGTTCCAAAATGTTTAGCTTTAACTCTAGATTGTTGTTCTAATGGGTATCATTGTCAATTTGTCATGACACCTAAGATATGATTAAAATCTCAGGTGGCTTCTGATATGGTGATGAATGAGTTAATGAGCATTCGGTCAAGCAGCAAGATAATCGTCTCTAGTTATGTGAATGGGGGTGGACCGCCGCTGACAACCGAGAAACTCGGAGACCTCATTATAAAGCTACAGTCCACCGGTGCAGACGTTATCAAACTCGTCATTGATGTTTCTTACATCACAGATGTTGCCCCTGTTTTCCATATGCTTACACATTGTCAGGTATTTGCATTTCATTTTGGAGAGAATTACTATTACCATCAAGGCTTGTTCATAATTATTAGTTTTGAAACATATATAATTTCTGTATTTTCCATCAATTGCTCTCTCTGGTTTCCTTCATAAACTTAAATATTTACTTGGTACTTATATTTATCATATTGATTATATCATGTTTTGACTCATATGTTTCATCCGTTCCACTAAAATAGAGATATAAGAAAGTGAAATGACTATTAAGAAAAATGAAAATATATGATCAACATTAGATTTGTAAAGTGCGAAATTTGAATCACTCATAAGTTTTATGTACTAAATACAATATGAGCCAAATTTAGTAGGAGAATGAAAAGAAGATGAGATAGACAATGGAAGGGGAAATATATCAGCAAACTATGTATTACCATAGTCCCATGATAATTTGGTTAACTCATTAGCTTTAACAATGATGCAACTTATATACTATCAGGTTCCACTGATTGTAAGGGCTGTTGGAGATAGAGGACTTATTAGTCAACTACTTGGCCCCAAATATGGCGCTTTCTTTGTTTGTGGATCCTTGAATGACAAGTCTACCCCTGGTCTTCCCCCTCTCAACAGCATCAAGCAAATCTATCAACTTGAACATATGAATGCAGACACAAGAATATTTGGAGTTGTTTCTAACCCTGTGGGACATAGTAAAGGCCCTCTCCTACACAACCCTGCTTTTAGGCACACTGGGTACAACGGAATATATGTGCCTTTGCTTGTAGATAACCTTAAGGAATTCTTTAGGGTCTATTCTTGCACGGACTTTGCTGGTTTCAGGTATGCTATAGGGTAAATATAACAAATTGCTGCAAATAGTAGTAAAACATAAGCAGATTGCACAGATAAAAGTATTTTTTCATTTTAAAATATTAGTCATTTAATCCTAATAAAAGAATAGTAGTAACACTACTTATTTTAGGAGTGGATGATTCTTTTATAATAGGAAAAACAATGTTGATCTTATATGTGGAATTGTGTTATATTAGTTCTATTTAGAGAATTTTTTATTTACATGATAACAGATATAAGGTAATTTAGGTTCCTCTTGCAGCCATACATTTTGTAAAACCGTAAGAGAGGTGGTTGTCTCTGATATCACATTAATGCTTGATGCTTTATTTTTTAAGATCAGCTTAATAGAAAGAATAGCTAGATCTTAAATTTTGTTGTACTCCTTTTTTATATATATTTAGCCGATGGGAGACAAATTATTTTATTATTAAGTTATCCTAGATGGAAAATATAAACCTAACATATGTAGTATAAAACATCAGGTTGACCCAATGCATCTAAATATGCGTTTATCTTGTTTTGATGGGATTTTGGCAGTGTTGGAATCCCACACAAGGAAGCAGCGGTAGAGTGCTGTGATGAAGTTGATTCCCTTGCTAAGGTCTGTGAAACTTACTATCGATATAGAGCGTTTCATGAGAGAATAGTGTAACAGTCGTTAAGTCTTAACTTATATGTTTTGAAGACAGTCCATAGGTGCTGTAAATACAATAATCAGGAGGCCTATTGATGGGAAGCTCATTGGTTATAATACTGATTGTGAGGCTGGTATAACAGCAATTGAAGATGCGCTCAGAGGTATATGGTTTTAAATGATTTTAGTCCATAATCTTATATGCATTTGCTTCTGAATTTATATATGTTTTCACTTATGTGATAAACAGAGAGGCAAAGGACAAATGGTCATGCATCATATAATTCTCCTATGGCTGGGAAATTATTTGTGCTGGTCGGAGCTGGGGGTGCAGGGAGAGCTATGGCTTTTGGCGCCAAAAGCCGAGGAGCAAGGGTTGTGATCTTCAACCGCAAATATGGTATTGTAGTTTACCCACATATCATCCCCCACCATGTACACTACAAAGAACCACAGATTTAGCATGAATATATGTGATATAAGACACAAGCCTTAACCGCATTGTTTAGGTTTTAACTACGAGTCATACTAAAACAGTCATATGTTGTTGGACTTGTTTAGAATTTATACTCGATACCTATGAAATTGAACACAAAAACTCCAATCTCCATTTCTTTTTGTTTCTTATTGTATGCGTAACTTTATGTATTTGTTGTGAAGACCGAGCGAAAGCCCTTGCCAAGGCAGTATCTGGTGAAGCACATCCATATGAACGCATTAATGAGTTCTTCCCAGAGAAAGGGATGATATTAGCTAATGCTTCTGCCATTGGGATGCAGCCGAGAATAGATGAAACCCCTGTTTGCAAAGTTTGTTCTCTTGCTCCCTAAGGCTATGTTTGGATACTGGAAAAAGCTAGGGATCAGAAAGAAAATGCTAAGAGAAGTTATTGTTTACATTTGTATTTACCTTGAAAAATGCAAAGAAAATAAAAAATGATTATTGCTTTTAAAGTTTTATCACTTTTATGTATGCAGTAAGTTTAGATTTCTTAGTTTTTGACAAAAAAACCAATGAAATAATGCATAAGAATTTTAAAAGTCAATTTTATTGCATTTGAACATGATATATTTTCCCCATTATTTCCATTCCTACGGACTTTCATATTTTCTTCCCTATTCACTTCCCCTAGCATTTTCCACAATCCAAACTGACCAATATCTTAAAAAGAAATGACTTTTATGAGTAGTTTATTGAATCGCATTGTTTGTATGTATCTCAGGAGGCATTGAAATCATATGATCTGGTGTTTGACGCGGTGTACACGCCAAGGAACACACGTCTATTGCAAGAGGCAGCAGAGGTCGGAGCTACTGTGGTGAGTGGGGTTGAAATGTTCATCAGGCAGGCTGTTGGGCAGTTTAAATTGTTCACTGATGGATTAGGTAACTTTGTCTCTCCACTCACTTGCCTAAGTGATTTGTCACTATCTTAGTGTCATCTAATTAACCATTGCATAAAAAAACTTGGTTTACAGCACCAGAGGACTTCATGCGCAAGATTGTATTGGAACAATTTTGATATATAGTTAGAACACGAGAAAAAGTGTCGTCTTTTTTCCAGACCGATCATCATCATCATCATCAATCACCATGATAGAGTGAGACAGATTTTGTTGATAATGGTTTGGTTTTCTTTGTGGTTATGGTCTACATATACCATCTTCAGTATCAGCATTCAGAAGAGAGAAGAGTAGAGGATAATAAGTATTGTATAATAATGCAGGCTAAGTATGAGGTTGTTAACCACACAGCGGATAAGAAGAGCCGTGTTTGTAAATATAAATATCTCTTGTAATATAAAACTGTTGTGATATCAAGGAATATTGCTTTTTATTGTATGGGTCAAAAAAAGAGAATGGCAATGTTTTTGGTTATTCCGTGTGAACTTAATGGCAAAACTCATCTTTTTCAAAGTTTTGATAGAATCTACTAGTATGATGCAAGAGCTTACAGAACATCTTCTAGAAAGCTATGCCATGAGAAGACCTTCTCGAGGAAGTTGGATGTTGATTTTAATCAATTCCAAGTTAGAAAAATGTGGTTTAAGTGACGAGAGGAGGAGGAATTAGGCAGCAATCAAAGTAGGAAGCGGTCATTCTCTTGTTTTTTAATGCTTTTGAATGGCTTAATGATGGTCATCAAAATATTAGTAGGACGGGGCGGTCTCGGTCCGGAATAGGGACCGGACCGACTTGGGTCCACCCTATTTGGCATGAATTGGCCTTTTAATGCCAACAAACAAAAAATGAAAAAACCTATTTGAATATTTTTTTCATAACAGTTTCTTGATTTAATGTTTCAAAATATACACGATAAAAAATGTTTCAAAATATACCACTTCAGTTAATAACTTGAAGATTATTCAAACAACAGTAACAATAACTGAAATAAAATGAAAAAGATAATGACAAATTGATAGCAAAAATAGAGCACCATGGTAATTGTTGTCGCTATTTTGCAATATTATTTTAGACACTTTTAAAATTTGAAATTATTAATATAGTAAAGTTATACCGCGTATTATATTAATTCTAGAATTAAATGAACATGTGTGTGTTATTCTCGTGTGAGTGTGTAGATAAAAAAATAAAAGTATTGATTATATTATATATAATAAGAGTAAATGTTTTTTTAAAACTTTTTCCTGAACATCATAAAAATATACATAAAAAATCAAGTTAAATTTATAAATTGTTTTATTCGTATCCATATTGCTAATCTTATTTGCAAGCAGGGCCGGCTCAATAGATTAGGGGACCCGGTGCAAATCACATAAAATAGGCCTTAATTAAATAAATATAATATAAAAAGCAACCTTTAAAAAATAACCCAAAAAAAGACTACAATCAAATGTGACATTGAAATATAATCATATTTCGAACCTGAACAACCAAAATTGGTAAAAAAAAAAAAAGCTAAAACCGAAAAGAAATGAATTAAAATAATGAACTAAAAAATATAGAGTAGGATATTACTGAAAAAACTACTCCATCCGTCCCTTAAAACCAAGCTCATCCAAAGTGTACGAGAAATTTGTGCTAATTAATATAACTAGGCCTTATGTAATAAAGAAGTTGCACATTTATAGTTAACAATTGCATTTCAATTACATATAAATATTAGTATTTAATGTTTGTATTTAAAAAAATACTAAAATAGGAATCTTTAATCAAATAAAAAAGGATTTTGTATATTATGTGTAGACTATATTGAAAATTTTGGACCTTCTGAATCGAGATGCCTTGTGCGATAGCACTTCTTGCACGGCCTCATCTACGGCCCTGTTTGCAAGGTACCTTGTGGCCTAATGCATCATTATGACACTCCCAAGAAGGAGGTCACAAGTTCGAATCTTATCGCAGTTCAAGTATGTTGCCTTAACATAGAGCATACACTATAATAAGTTAGATATAATTGTCCAAAAAAAATTGCTAATCTTACTTCATAAAAGCTAATTAGTAAAAGCTTCCTCAAAAATAAAAAAGCTAATTAATTAGTAAATATTAAGTGGCTAAATATCTTAGTTCAGTTTGTTAGTAATAACGGTTAATAATAACTAGTTAAATAATATACTCCCTAACTAATAGTCAATCACTTATTTTCAAACTCCTTTATACTCTTATTTGCAAACTTTTCAATGATAGTTTGTATAATTTATTTTTGTATTGCAGACATTTCTAAATACATCTTCTTTAATTAGTAGAACAAATAAATACAATCAATACCTTACACAGTTACACCACTATTATTTTAAATTATAAAAAAATAAAAAAAATGCATTATTAGCTAAATATATCTACAACTGTCATCAAATTCACAAATATATCCCATACTTTCACGTTTATTAAAAAAAGACTTAAACTTCAACTTTTCTCACAATTACATTTTCAATGGATGAATTAGTAAAAATTAAGAAGAAAATCATATTCATATTTCATATTTTCACTTGTTTCTAGTTTCAAGTCTATAAATTTGTATTGCTTATATCTAATTGGTATTGATAAAAATGTGTAATTTTGGAAAAACAAAAAAGAAAAGCATAATTGTTGAAAAAGATATAGTTTGAGTCTTTTTTTTTATAAAAGTGAAAGAATATGATAGATTTGTGAATTTGATGATAGTTTGGGATAAAATAAGCTAATAATCCTAAAAAAATAATAACAACCCCTCTGTATCTCTATTGGGGCGTTTGGTTGGTTGCACATTAAAACTTTACCAGCCCGTTTGGTAGCACGAAAATCGGCTGTTTTGGATGATTCTGCTGAAATTTATGAAGTTTTGGCTAGGCCTGGGACCGGTTCGGTTCCTAGGTAGAATATGTAGAACCGTTTGAAAATATGTAATTCTATTAACAGTTCGGTTCTTTTTTTTATAGAACCGATAAGGAACCGAACCGTTCTTAACGTTTCAGTTCTTGTCATTTAACGGTTCCTAGTCTTTGAAAAAATTCTTACAAATCACGACTAAATTTTTGCCGAAACGGCATTCAACGTTTGAAATTACAATATAAATATGTTGAACTAGTTAAAGAGAATAATAATTTTAAATAGTTTGGACCTTCCGAGTTCCGACCCGCTGGAGTTTGGACCAAATGCGAGGCCTAAGAAGCGTAAGAGAACTAGTTGAAGTGAATAATAATTTTAAATAGTTAAATAACTAAACTAAAATAATGAATGTAATATAAAAATAAATAAGTAAAAATACATTAAAATATATATACTCATAAGAAATATATATAATTCTAATTATTATATATAACAGTTTCTTGACGGTTCCTGGTACATATTTTTTTCAAGAACCGAGAACCGAACCGTTAATAAAAAATAGGACCGAACCGTTAACAAATAACTTATAAATGTTGGAACCGAACCGAACTAGGTCATAACGGTTCGATCCGGTTCGGTTCTCCGGTTCTTGGTTCCAAAGTCCCACCCTAGTTCTGACTGAAGTGGCTGCATTAGCTGATTCTGCTGATTTAAGAAAAACTTATTTTTTAAAAATATTTTATTAATAGATATGCAGTTTATCCTTAAAATACATGCGAAATACATTGTTTGACTCAAAAATAAGTTCACACATAAAGTTCCAATTAAAAATTAAAATTGCTCTTTTAACATCCCATCCAATGCTAATTAAGCCAGAAAGTAGTATTTGATTTTTTTTAATAATTGACAGACTAGTTAATGAGCCATAAAACAAGGGTTCCAAACACCTGTGATCTACAATTTGAGAACTTATTTTTCAATGATGTTCTACTCATAATGTCTAATTACTTTATATTTGATAAAAATAATCAACAAAACTCACAACTTTTATTCTTTTAATTAATAAAAAATGCCTGAAATTCAGAATTAGTGGCATATAATTCCTGATCTCTAAAAAACTCCCTAATCAATCCATACGTATGGTATGGGAGGTATATTATCCAAAATTTGAATCTATATTAATTGGTCTCTAAACTATTTTTATGGAAAGTAGATGAACCGCTGGCGCGACTATTGAGAAGAAGCTGTGGGCAAGAGTGAGAGATGGTGACGTCCGGCGTGAAAAAATATGGTAGCATTGTAAAGTTTTTATTTAATCAATTTTGTATTAAGAATTTACAAATATTTCTTGGGTCAAAAATTATTTTACCACTCTTCCCAAATATAGTGTTTTACATGGTTTAGTGTAAAATAATTATTACCTTACCATTTACAATTAATTGTTAAGTGGCATATATGTAATGTATGAATGCAAAAAGCATACACATTTACAATTTACAGTATGGCACGATTGACCCACTATTGAGCTCTTCCCCACTCCTAACCTATTTTTTCCATTTCCCTCCAAAATCATTGCAAGTACTCCGTAATTCATATACACCAGCAGCCAGCAGATGATTTTGGTTCCTCCACTGAAAATCCAAATGGCGACTATGCTCATGTGTATATGATTACTTTATGCATGTATAAACAGCTCAATCTCCCCTCACGCCAGCAGATAAGTTCGATTTTATCAGTTACCACCTTGCGCTTTTGATGATGAATGTCGTCAATCGTCCCTTCTTCTGGTGAGTTTCCCGCCATTTGTATGTGATTTTGTTTCAACTCACTGTTTTCAATGCTTTTGGTTCATCGCCAACTGATCCTCTCATCCTTACTGGGTTTTGCCTTTTTAAGCTTCGATAATCGATGAAAATGATGAGAAATTTCGTGGGTTTAAATATTCGTTTATTACGACTATGCGACGAGCATTGCGTAGTTAAACTTTGAATGTATTCGTATTTGCATTAGCCTATGAATGATTTATGTGTGTTCGTGTATATGTTGGCACAGATTAGCGATTATTGAAAGCACAGAGACATATTGAAGGGAGAGTTAGGTCCTTGTTAGTTGTTACTCGAGCTGTTGATCATACATTCGTGCTTGCACAGATTCCATGAGGCTCCCTGATTGTGTTAACAACTTAAGCAGTGAATTCGGAGTTGAAATTGTGCCTGATTCTGAAGATGAAGGAATCCATGAAAGCGAAGGCATTCATGCCAAAACACAAATAAGAGGGAGGTGTGTACGCAAGAGAAGATATGCTCCTACCAATCATTCATGTGAAGGTGGGGATGATTTGGAACTTTCTCTGGCTCAATAGACAAACGACTTTTAATGAGTATATTGACTCAATCACCCTTCTAATGTTTTCAGGGTACCTAAGGAAGCAGAGGAATCCTTTGTTGGCTATCAATGAGGACATAGATGTTGATAAGGGCTTGCAAAATTGGGAGTGCGATGAAAGAGCTAATAATTTGGGTAACATCATTGAATCTCAAGAACCGGAATCTTCAGAAGAAGATGCATTGAAATTTGTTGACCTTTATCTATCAAACAATGAACCAGATGAATTTCATCATGTTGAAACCGGAATACTGGGTAA